CGTCTATCAAAACATCCCCACACAGCTGCACATATGCTAAGCCAGTTAAGCTCTTATTAAACTTGTTCTTCTAGTTTCTCTTTTAAATGAGTAACTCTGAGAAAAACGGACCCTTAATGAATAACTCTGGGGAAAACGAACCCTTAATGAATAACTCTGGGGAAAACAGACCCTTCTCCTTACTGTTTTCTGCCGTGTTTGCAGAACTAGGTACAGATCAAGTAGGTAATGCTTTTTCCCTTAGACTGAGGTACATCACCTTGTATAATTTTTCACTTAACCATAGACCTGGTGGTTATTTGTGCAAGGGTATAAAATAGCTACTTTTCCAGCCTTTAGAGGAACTTCTTCTGGTCCAGGCTGCCACTGGACCCTAGTGGACCTGCTCCTTCCGGTCTGTAACTTTTCTTCATCTGTTAGCAAATGGAAACTAATGTCTGTAAGCCTGTCTTGGGGTTAGTTTTTCCATTTCTCAGTCCGAACTTATCTTGAGGGCCTTTTCTGGAGAATGAGACTATTTGACACGAGGTCTCCATTTGAGCTGGCCCAGGAGTTCCGGCCTGGAACACACCTCACAGAGCAAGGTCCTCACAGCCAAGGACCTTGATGGCATCACCATGTAAACAGGGCCATGTGAGAGTCAGAGAGCCAGGGTTTGTAAAGAGCACAACCCAGAGGGAGGGATGGATCAAGGTAGCTCTAGAGGTCTAGCAGGTATGTGTTGGCTGCTAACAAAAAAGCCACAATGCTCCACAGTCATTGGCTGTGCTGCAGAGTGATGGGCGGTCTGCTTCCCTCAGGATTACAGCTTCGGAAACGAAATAAATGGAGGGGCACAGGAAATCATAACTTCTAGGCTGTGTTTCTTTGAATTGGTTCTATTTCAGAAATGAAAGTTTAAATGAAGGTAAGGGGGCCACGGACTATCTTCTGAGGACCCAGTGTCCTTTGAAGTCAGGGACAGAGGTGCTGGCTTGGCTCCGTGAGAGAAGGCTGATGGCTGGGCCCCTTTGTGGACTCTGTGGTGATCAGGGAAGACCAGGGAAGAGTGGGGGCTGCATCTGGAGGGGGGCCTCCAAAGAGTGTAAGGCAGGAGGTATGGAGGACGAACTTGGATGGCTGAGACAGTAGGATCCAGTTCTAGATGGAGAGGTCAGCAACCTAGAATCCAGCACCACTTGGTCAGTTCGTTTTCCATTTGTGAACCAGACAGGTCCCAGTCCTGCCCCCAGCAGGAGCGGACAAAGGAGAAGTGAAACTGGCGGGCGTCCGGGAGGCGGGGCCAGGTGGGAGGCGGGGCCAGGTGGGAGGCGGGGTCAGGCCGTCCCGGAGGCGAGATCTGGCCGGGCGGGAGGCGGGGCCGGGCCGTCCCGGAGGCGGGGCCGGGCCAGACCCCGGGCCTGCGTCCCTAGGAGCACAGGGTGCAGTGGCCGCAGGCCCGAGGCGGTGGCGGCTTGGCGACAGTAAGTGCGGGCCGGGGGCGGGCGGCGGCGGGCTCAGTCCGGCCCAGGGTGCCTGTCCGGGGCGCTGCGCACATCTTTCGGCTTCCGGCTACCGGAGATTCGTGCTCGGCCCGGCCGCTCCGGCCCATCTGGGTGCAGCTGCGGGGTTCAGACCGGAGCCAGAGGACCTCCACACCCCTCGGCCTTGGCTTCCCTCTGTACCTCCTCAGTGTCGCTCCTCTCCCGCGTCATCTTTATCGCCTTCCCCCAGCAGCGCTGCCTCTCACTCCCTCCCGCCTGCTCCCTGTGAGCTCCAGGCGCCGGGCCTCCCTGCCTGCATGTGCGGGCCTGGGTGCGGACTGCCAGCCCCGGAGGTGTCCAGAGGGTGCCGTTGAGGCGGGGACTTCCACAACTTACAAGCAGATTCTGACAATAGCTTTTGGGTGGTGCCTATGCTTCCCAGCATGCTTTCTCATCCCCACTCCCCAGATCAGAAAACTGAGACAGGCAGAGACATTGATTTGGCCCAGAGTCAAGAACTGCCCTGGAACTCGCACCCAGGAGTTCCTGTCCCTGGGGCGCTTCCCTGGCCTGACCTCCCACAAGCCTCTCTGGGAAAGGGTTGCTCCTAGCCAGGTGGGAATGGGGTTCAGGTCACCTCAGGAGGGAGGGAGATCCTGCAAGTGCTGAAAAAACAGCTGGGGTCACTGCCGTTCTGCCCTGGATGAAGCCTGGGCTCTTCCTTACATTTCTTTTTTCTTTCTTTTTTAATCTAAAAGTCAAGGTAGCTTTGATAGAGAGTAATAAGGCTTTGCTCACTCCAGTGCCCTGGCTTGTGACCCAGGTTAGACAAGATTCCTGGCTCCTTCTTCAGAAGCTTGTTAAGCCTGAATGATCCCCAACAAATAGACTCCAGGAGTCAGGAATGGGCCACTGGCCACCACACTTGGCCAGGACCCAGCTGTGGCCCTCACCCGCTCCTCTGGGGCCAGAACATCTGGGTACAACCACTGACTCACTGTCATCATGCGTGGGTCAGAACTGCTTTTTATATTGTGGTAGTAGTGAGAGCTGGGCTCTTTTGGGGAAGGACTCTGCTCAACCAGAGGAGTTTAAAATAGAGTTGCTGATTTGGATACTGGGGCCCTGGGCAGCCTGCTGTCACCCATTCGTGGGTACTTGTAGCTCATCAAGGGGGAGTATCCTGGTCGTATGCTGTCCATCTAGTCAGCAAACCTGTGAGGCCCATTGAGGGAGGCCCTTTCTGCCTCTGCACACAAGCTCTCTGGCTGTGCTCGAGGACCGACGTCAGATTCCCAGCCCACTTCTGGAATCTCAGGGAAAATGAGGACTCTGGCCTGGGTCTCAGACAGCTGGCTGGCAAATTCCTCTCTTGCCATCTGGTAACTGTGTGACCTTGGGCAGGTTACTCACTTTTTTGGGCCTTAGACATGCCAGCTGTGAAATGGGTCCTAGAGTCCTAGCCACTACCAGAGTGGGCTGTTGTCAGGGCCAAGTGTGAGCCCCAGACCTCCCTACACGTGTATGCTGGATTTAACTCTCTACTCATTACCGCTGAGTCAGAATTTACACAACTGAAACTTCCATTGAGTTTTGGTCACTGTGAACTGTATAGCAGGAGATGGCCCATCTTTCTCCCTTGGAGCTGCTGGTGGATTCTAACTACCAGAGAGACGCAGCTTTTGGGTTAGCAGTGCAACTCCCTACACACTGTGCCACCAGAGCTCCCTGATGTGTTTTCGTTAATGGCAATACTTACTGAGTCCCCACAAGTTAAGCCAAGTGCCTTCAAGACCTGTCTTTGCATCTGCAGAAGCCTGGTGTCACCAAGTCAATCCCCATTCACAGTGACCCCATAGGACAGGGTAGAACTGCCCCATGTTTCCAGGGCTAGTCGTCTTTAGAAAAAAGCAGACTGCCACATACTTCTGTGGAGTGACAGGCGGTTGAACCACCAGGCTTTCAGTTAGTTACCTGATTATGTAACCACTGCTCTACCAGGGCACATCGCATTTGCAAAAGAGGAAAATTCCTGTTCTAGTTCCAAAGGCCATCATGAGGCTGTCCTAAGACAGTGGACAAAGCTCTGTGCCCCTGTTAGGGGTGATCCTGTGCCACCAGCTAAGAAAAGTCCCCACCCTGTCCAGCCTAATGCTTAACAGTGGAGACTCATTTCCTATGTGAGCTGGTGAGTTAACTGATGAGGGAGGAAGCTTGTGAGGACGGATTATATATGTCCCATCCTCAGCATTATGGAAATATTTAGCATTTATCAAGCTGCTTCCACGTCCTGGGTGCTATATAGAGCATAGAAGTAGACATGCTATCTTGCAGCTCAATTCAGCAAGCAGCCAGCCAGCCAGCCAGGTGACAAGCCCAGGATGCCGGGGAAGATGCCGACATTTGTTCAACAGCTGCTACCACTGACTAGGCCTTGCCAGCCTGTTGTAGTGGTATGACAGTTGTTAAAGGCTTCCCTGGGTAGTTGTTAGTTGCTGTTGAGACAGCTTTTGACTCATGCTAACCTCGTGTACAGTAGAATAAAATTTTGCCCAGTCTCCCACTATCATCACAGTCGTTGGTGTGTTTAAAGCCACTGTTGACATCTTCGCTGTTGTTGGTATGCTCAAGTCCACAACCTGGGGCTCGTCTTCCCCCACGATATTGACAGTGTTATGTTGTGATCTACATAGTTTTCATTGACTGATTTTGAGTTTGTGAGCTTAGGTAGCAGAGCTCTGAACTCAGTGGTAGGTGGTTCAAATTCACCAACTGCTTTAAGGAAGAACGATGGGCAGTCTCCTCCCAAGTGATTAAGAGCCTCAGAAAATCCGCTGGAGGGTCAGCAATGAGTTGGTTCCGAGTCACTGCACCCAACAACAGTTGTCAGGAATAGATCATCAGGCTTTACTTCCTGAGCACTTTTAGTCTGGAAATCCTGCTGAACCCGTTCCACAGTGAGTGACCCTGCTGATATTTGAAATATCACTGGCAGAGCTTCCAGCATCATAACAACGCACAAGGGACAACAGTATGACAAGCTGACACATGGGTGGCAGTTCCTGGGTTTACAGAAGGGGAAACCAGCCCAGGTGTGTGATGCCTTGTACAAGCTCACATGGCAGTAATTACTGGTGGATCAGAATCTTCATTTGTTTTGGGTGCCACCTCAGAAGTGACTTGTCTCTTCATGTGATGTACTGAGGCAGGGAACTCCGGCAGGAGCTGCAATCCAGGCTTAACCACCCACCTTGCCTGTTCTTTGGGCCTCAGTTTCCCAGCAAATGAAATGAGGGAAGGGATTATCAGAGGTCCCTAACCAACCTTCTGAAAAAGCAGCTCTCAACACTAAAGGAGTTTTAAAGTGAATATTGTAGATTTGTTCTTACCATTTTAACTTTTCTATAGATAATAATTTCTGGTGACTCAAAATTCAAAAAGTACAAAAATGTGCAGTGAAATAATCTCCCTCCCTGTCCGCAGCACGTTCCTCAGAGGCAGCCATGTGTTGGAAGTTTCCTAAGTGTTCTTTCAGAGATGGTCAGTGCACATAAGAATACATGTGGGTATGTTCTTGTTGTTGTTGTTATGTACTGTCAAGTTGCCTGTGACTCATAACGACCCTGTGTACAACAGCTCTGAAGCCTGTCCTGTCCTGAGCCAGTCTCACTGACTCCGATACACCTACCCCCATTGCCTCAGTCACTGTATCAATCTATCTCATCTGGGGTCTTCCTCTCCTGTATTGTCCTTTCACCATTTTGAACATGGTGTTCTTCAAGGATTGGTCCCTCCTGGCCACATGCCCGAAGTATGTGAGATGGAGCTTCAAAATCCTAGACTCTGAGAAGAAACTTGGTTTCACCATTTCTAAGACAGACCTATTTGTTTTCTTGGTGGTCCATGGGTCCAGCATCAGAGAGCTGAACAATGACTAAGGATAGCTGAAGAATTGATGCCTTTGAGTTGTAGTGTGTGTATTTATGCCTCATTTTTAATGCAAATAATGTATTTCACACATTGTCCTGGACCTTGTTTTTATCCTATGAAGTGGAAAAGAGGGTATTAACTATCCTGGTTCCTTTTGCACTATAGAGAAATTTGAATGCATTTAGATCAAGTTGCCTTTCTGAATTGATTGCCTTACATGCAGCCTCCCCACGTGTATATGTTGCCCAGGTAGCCCCTCAACGGGTGGGCTTTGTGATCACCTATAGCTCAGGCATCCATCAGTCTCAGATTCTAACTCCCTGTTCCTTAAGCTTGAAGCTTCCCAGCTGGGCTGATCTAACACACCCAAGGGTGGGTGACTACCCAGCTGTCCCTTCCTTCTGCTTCTGCTGACCTGCCTTTCTGTCTTCCTGCTCCAATAGTGGCCATTGTATCAGAGAACAACTTCCGTCACAGTGCAAACTCCACCTACAGAACCGGAAGCACCTCTGTACAAACTGAGCAGGAGGCATTGCTCGAGAAGCTGATAGACAGCCCACTGTCTGGTCTGAAGAGGCCCGAGGACCACTTCAATGGCACCTACATCATCTTCTTCATCCTGGGCATCGGCTCACTGCTGCCATGGAACTTCTTTGTCACTGCCAAAGAGTACTGGTTGTTCAAATTCCACAACTCCTCCAGCCCAGCCACACAGGAGGGCAGTACAGACTCGGACATCCTGGTAAGGCATGTTCCTCCCAGGAAGCCTGTGGGAGCAAGCCTAGGTAGTAAAGGGCGAAGTTTCAGTTGGGTGTACTATTTGACAGAGTTTTACAGGATGCTAGAAATATGTCTGTGAGTTAGGAAACTGCGTGGAGGTTAGTGAATAGAATTCCATCCAACCCTAAGCCAGGCTGTGTTATGTGTGAGGCTAATGCCCCTTAGTGTGGGGAAGATGAGAGTGAGCAAAGCCCAATTCCAGCCCGAGTCAGTTACTTAATACTTGACTGGAAAAATGTTGCAAAAGTGGATTCTGTGCAGCAACCTCTGATACACCCAAGAATTCAGAGTCCACAGGTTTCCAAGTCTCTAACAGCTTCTTCACAGACCATGGCCATCTCAATCATGGCCGATGAGGTGAAGCTAGAATGAACCCTAATTTATAAAATTATGACCAGAATGGGAAAAATTATAGGTCAATGCCCTGCTAGAAACTTAATCTCCTGTTTAAAAAAGAAGGTCATTATGTCCATTGCCTAGCAACCAAGTCTCCTGATCAGCAGACCTGGAAACAGCAGTGCCCCATTCAAAGATGGTGGCCGACCACATGGCCTTGGATGTGTGTCACTTTCCACATTCCTGGAAATAATCCCCTCTCCTGGATCAGGCTCCTGAAAGGGCTCGCTCTGTTTTTTCAGAGTCTCCCATTCCAGGGTTCTGATCTATAATTTTTCCTGTTCCTGTTCCACTTCACCCACATTTTAAGCATCAGTGTCTGATTTTGCTGCACTAGCCATGACAGAACCAGTGGGAACCAGTTTGAAGCACAGATTTGAAGTCAAGAGTGGAGTTAGAAACATTAAGTTCAAGTGGGAGTTACCCAGCTGTGGCTAAAACAATGTGGAAGCTAATTAATTATTCTCTCACCCACAAGTCTAGAGGGGGCTGCCCAAGGTTGATATATATCTCACAGTATCAGAGATCTCCACACAACTGACTTCCATTCCCAAGACCATCTAACAGTCTGAGATTACTGCTAGAGCTCCAGTCAATAATGATAGGAAGAGGAAAAGGGGGAAATGCCCCATGTCTATAAGAATATTTCACACACACTGCTTCTGTTTGTATTGTGTTGGTGAATTCGGTCATGTGACCACACGTGTTGCACAGGACCCTGGGAAATGCAGTCCTTATTTCAGCAACCCCAGCCTCAGCCAAAATAGGTTTGGTAGTTAATAACAAAGTTGTTCTAGTGTGTCGTGTGTTGGCTTGCTAACCTATAGGCCTGTAGTTTTACTCCCCCACCCCCACCCTGGCAACTATTCTGTGGGAGAAAGCTGAGCATCGTCCTTCTGTAAAGATTTACAGCCTCCGAAACCAGGTGGAGGCTCGCTACGAGCTGGAATCAGCTCAGTGGTCTTGAGTTGTTTTGGTGGTTAAGAAATGAGGAGAGTTGTGGTTAAAGCAATTGGCTGCAAATGGAAAGGTCTTCAGTTCAAACTTCTCAGCTGCTCTGTGGGTATCTGCTTCTGGGAGGTGGTCTGTTCTCCTATAGCACAGCTGGGAGTTGGAATCGATGACTTGGCTTGGGTGGCAGTTAGGGGGGAGAAGGGGAAAGAAGCACTTGGGGAACGTGTGGATTTGGAGAATAAGGAGACATTTGGGTAGAATGAAAGCCTGGCCAGTGTCGTGATGGGAGGAAACTGAGGCCTGGGTAAGCAACAGGGAGGTGTCCAGTTTTGCTATGTCGGGGGTCCGAGTAAGAGAGATAAGAGAGAGAATTCGGCTTTGAGGTCATTGCCAGGACCTTGGATGTTACAGTGAGGAGTCAGGATTTGCCTGGCAGTGCACTAAATCCCCTCCAAGTGTAGTTCACTGTCTGGGGCGACCTTTCCCCATGGGCCCCAGCTCCTGCAGCTGACCACAGCTCATCTGCTCTCAGCAGGTTCTCCATAGAGGAGAGAATTTCTGAAGACATGGCAGGGCAGGGGCTGCCAGCTTCCCTCTCTTCCAAGAGTGCCCTCCAGGAAAAGAAAGGGAGACCCCCCCCACCTTTACCCCTCCAGCTATTGGGGCACACCATGTCTCCCCAAAAACACCTTTGAAGGAACTCCCAAGTTTCCTAAGAAGTGCCAGTTGGGAACTATCCTAGAGTCCTGACTGGATTTGTTTGAAGTTGGGTGCGTTGTTGTTGTTATGTGCTGTGTGTTCAGTCCAAACCAACTCAAAGCTAACCCTCCGGCAGGTTTTCAGAAGCTGTGAATTACATGGGAGGAGATTGCTCATCTGCCTTCCTCAGAGCAATTGGTGCATTTGAACCATCTGCCTTTGGGTTGGCAGCGCAACTCCTTGCCACTAAGAATGCTGGCAATTTCTAAGAACTCCACTTTTCTTCACCTCATGAGGACATGTTTCTATTAACCCAGAAGATGGAGCAGTGGGTATAACCTGGTTTCTGCAGCTGAAAAGGCATTTTGGGAGGGTAGACTCCTTAACAGCTAACATCAGCAACACTGTAGTAGATCAGTCTCACTCCTCCAGTGAGACTCAGGGCGCTGGCCTGCGCCTGGCTTCTGGCCCTGCCACTCCCTGTTCTCACCTCTCTGTGCCACCTGGCATGTAAAATAAGGATGAAGGCATTGTCAGTTTCTTCAGGTTGAGGATGAAGTGAATTAGTGTGCGCAAGAAGCACTTGGAGCAATGTCTGGCACCGCGGGGAGTGCTAAGTATTGTTACCATTAACATTTGGGGGATCCAGGCCACACAGGCTTCTGAGCCGCCTGTGGTCCTGGTGAATTTCCGGAGGCTCCAGGCTTAGCTGGGGCGCTTTACGATCTGCTTTGATTTCGCAGTGACTCAGGCAGCCCAGCTTTCTGTGGCCTCTGCAGATTACCCCACCCACTCGGCTTCCTCCTGCAGATCTCTGGCCTGGGCTGGCCCTCAGGGCTGGACTGTCCCCTCACGCTCCACCGCCCAGTCCCAGGCCCAGTCCTGGGAGCAAGCCCTGCTCCGGGCACGGGTGCCGCCCCGCACGGTGGCCACTTGCCTTCCACTGCTCTCGAGCCTCTGCGATCCCTGCCCAGCTGCAGGCACTTAGCATTCCAGACCCTGCTCCGATGCTTTATTGCCTTTTTCCAAGTGCTGGCAGGTGCGGATGTAGTACCTGCGGCTGCCCGCAGCTCCTGGCTCTTGGCATCGGAGATGAGAGACCTGTCACCCCTCGATTCATGAGCCAGCTTTGGGAAGCAAGCATTCTGGGGCGTTTCAGCATTTTGTGGGCCGTTTTTCTTTGCCTAATTCCTCATTTCTGCCATCGCCCCCCCTAGTTCTTTCCCTCTTCCCCCCCCCCCCCCCTTTCCCTGTAAGAGATTGCTGGTCTGCCCATCACCGAGGAGCGCAGGGGGGCAGGTGGGGGAGTCAAGGGAAGCTGACTCCATCCTCCACCTGCAACTCAATTAGCAGTGGGTCTGGATTTCCACCCCTATCCTTTCCTTTTGCTCTTTTCCAGCGATGGGTACATTTGATGGGGAATTTGACGCAGCAGGAATGTTTGCACAGATGTCCCCTCCCATTATATCATTTTCTAGGTCACTTGCCATCCCAGGCACGATTCTTTCTGCCTGGACAGTGTTTTGTGCGGGAGGGTGGGGTGGTAAGCAAGGGCTGGAATGATTTTATTGTGGATCAGGTTACTTTTTGCTCACTCGGCTTTCTCTTTTCTGTCTTTGTAGTAAGAACTTTGAATAAGCCCAATACAGGCTTGTCAGGGCCCTGGGCAAAAAATTAAAAAAGATATAAAAATCCGAGCATAGATGAGCAAGAGAAGCTATAATGAGGGAAGCCGCAGAGGCCATCATTTCCTGGACCCAACCTGGGCCCGTCAAGCAGGCAGGAATGTCTCACACACTCTTGTTAACATTACAAGATTGGCTTTTATTACACCTATTTTTCCAACAAAAAGAGGCTCAGAGAGGAAAAGGAACTTGCCCAAGATCACACAGCTAGGACAGGCTGTAGGGAATTTCCTGGGGAAACTGGGTGGATAGAGCATTGCAAAACTGTTTATACTGAGAGAGGAGTGTTTAGCAGACTGTTTGGAGATGGGGTCCTGTATACCCCCTGACCATGAGGGGCTCCAACAAGTCAATCTCAGTGAGTCAAGGCCAGAGGCAAAAGCATCTATTAGTCCTGGGCCACCTCCCCTCTCCCACTGACACTCCTCTGAGCTCTCTCCACACAGCTCATGGGTGCAACTTGAGAGGCTCAAGGGCTCATGTTGAGGAGACAGCTCTCAGTATTTTGTAAGTTGTGTCTCTCAGCTCCATCACAGCCCTGGAAGCAGGTACTGTTATAATCCATGGTGAGTATTCCCATTTCACAGATGAGGATGCAGCCTCCAATCAACTGTTAGCTCTTCAGGGGCAGTGAATACCGTGCTTGCTGTCCTCATTCATGTGGCTCCAAGCCACCTAACACAGTGCCCAGCGAATAGGATGCAGCTAATACCAAATACATTACTTACTGTACATAATAAGGAGCAAAGCTTTTTACGTCAAAGGGAACAAAGATCTGTGATCGCAGTGGCCAGCACCCAGGGGTTCTGACCTGTTAGGTGGCTTAACTCAGACATGAAGTGGGGTTTCTTCCATAGGGAGGGAAGCCAGCTTGGCCTGGTCCAGCACTGCCTCCCCTTATTTACAGCATGGAGTTGTCACTGATTTAATTTTCTTGAATCCACAATCAGCAGCTATGGTAGCGGCGGTCAGGAGGTCAAAAGGTTTGTTGCATTAAGCAAATCTGCTGTCTTTAAAATCTCTCTGAAGTGTTAAGGCACAATGATGTCAGCTACAAGACTAAGGGGGCCTGACTGTAGTCTTTTCAGTTACTTCCTATGCATCTGAAAGTTGGAAAATGAGTAAGAAGATCAAAGAAGAATTAATGCCTTTGAATTATGGTGTTGATGAGGAGTATGGAATGTCCCATGGACTGCTTAAAGAATAAATGCATTTATGTTGGAGGAAG